GAAGTGCATGGTTAAGTAGGAAGTGAAAGGTTGTATCCTAATTCGAGGATCTGATTGGATTACATATTCAGGTGATTTATTTATATTATTATTTGTTGAAGGAATTAGGCGATCGAATATTATAATACTATATCGGTATTAATGTTATTGGTGCTAAAAATTTTAAAATCGAGTTAGGTGTGGTGTATTTTAAAATGCCTTACCGTTTAAGTTATTAACCGTTTAATTATAGCCCTGATTACTGTATGTAAGCGAATATTGAATAAAAGACTAGCGCTTCAATAATAAATGGACAACTAAGGCATTTTTTCAAAATTTTATCTTCGCTCTTTTTCAAAATTACTTAAGATAGTTTAATGGATACCTTTTATTTACAAGCTACTATGTCTAATTCTATTTTTTTTTTTTTGTCCTTATTATCTTTATTAAAAATGGTTTAGTATATACCTGTAATTTAGGAAGATTCTGTAAATCGATTTTATTCTTGCACTATACAACAGGAATTGACTAAATGAAGCGTGGCTTAGAGATTTTGCATACCTGTTAAGTATTGTTAATATCGTACGTATGTACGTACGTACGTGATTGTTAATATTTTCCAATATATCTGAAATGTGTGGATGAATGGAACTAACTAAATGAGGTAATAAGAGTGTACGTTTATCTCCCCACAAATATGGTAATAAATTTGAGCGAATGAATTTCTTAATACGTGAACAATATCTTCGCCGAATCTCGTCAAAAAGACCTTAACTTGATCTGCTTAAATCTCTCCGCTAAAGATTGTTAAGGAATAATATTTGTATTGTATTATAAAATTTTGTGATTACATCAAAATCTTGATAATAATGTTATCTTGTACGATCTTGATTTAATAGTATCTGTTAAGATCTGTCTTGCCAAATTAGTTAATCGAACTGAAGATTTGTTGCTACACAAAATAAGGTAATATTATGAGCGAAGATATTTCTTAATACATAAATAATATCTTCATATATTGTTATCAAAAATACTGTTAACTTGCGTTGCTTAGAGAGTTTGCCGTCACAATATACTTATTAAGTATTGTTAATATCATATGTATATACGTGCGTACGTGATTGTTAATATTTTCCAATGTATCTGAAATTTGTGGATAAATGGATCTAACTAAATGAGATAATAAGAGTGTACGTTTATCGCTGCACGAATATGGTAATAAATTTGAGCGAAGGAATTTCTTAATACGTGAACAATATCTTCGCCGAATCTCGTCAAAAAGACCTTAACTTGATCTGTTTAAATCTCTCTGCTAAAGATTGTTGAGGAATAATATTTGTATTGTATTATAAAATTTTGTGATTTCATCAAAATCTTGATAATAATGCTATCTTGTACGATCTTGATTTAATAGTATCTGTTAAGATCTGTCTTGCCAAATTAGTTAATCGAACTGAAAATTTATTAGGTAATATTATGAGCACAGATATTTCTTAATACGTAAATAATATCTTCATATATTGTTATCAAAAATACTGTTAACTTGGTCTGCTTATTGAAATAATATTTGGTATTGTGCGATAACATCTTAGGATTATTGTTAAAGCCTTGAAGATAATGCTTTATTGTACAATCTTGTTCTAAAAATATACATGTGATTTCTATAATAATGTATGTTTTATATAAGATATTTAATTTGATTTTTTTTATATAAAGGCAGAACTAACGACGAAATAATTTATTCTTCTTGTCATAATAATTTTCATATCATTACCAAATTAAAAATCCATATTCAAAAAAATGCCTTCTCACGTTGCACTTGTTGTTGTCATTATTACTGTAAAAAACAGTCGCTTTTGCTCCCAGGGTCTTGTCTTGCCAAGTACATTTATTCCAAAAACGTGTCTCAAATGATTAAGTGGAAGTACTTCTTATCTACTGATGAAGAGCCTCAAACATTCATGGCTGGTGACCTTGTTTTTATTTCTGGCAAATACGTTGTCGAAAATTCTGAACAATACATTACTGTTGCATACGCCAGTGTTCTCGACGCTGGAAACCCTAACCGTGAATTTGATACTTCTGGTGTTCCTTTATGTGTACCACACTGTATGTTTTCCGTGATTGTAAATCGCCAACCAAAAAAGACTGAAGACTTTATTCATTTCAGCGTAGAGTGTGTCGAATATAATTCGGTCACTAGTACGCCTAATGTCAAAATGCAAATAACTGTCCTTTATTTCTCTCAGTCTGCAAGGTTTAACAAATATTTAGGCCCTTTAGGGTCTAATATTAAATTAAATAATACCTATTTAGTATCAGGCTTTTTTAAATTCTCAACGTCAGGGAAAATGATGCTTGTGGCAACTGATATTGATTATATAAAAGTATCAGATATTAATAACATCAAAAGTGAAATTACATCTTCATCAACATCAAATACTCGGTCAATCATTGATATTATTGCCGAAGATATTGAATCTATTAATTTGTCAAATAAGCAAGACTTTAATACAACTCTCGAATCTTCCAATACTTTAACAGACAATATTGATGATGACATGATCCCTAATTTATCCCGTGAAAGAAAAAAACCTTATAGTCAAGTAGATCATATCGATTTAGACGAGCAAGCTGAAGAAAGTGAAAAACAAACGGAGCATGAAGAAGATATAAATTCACAAGATGATAGTAAGGATCAAGAAGAAAACTTTCAACCTAAAAAAAGAAAAAAAGTACCAGAAGTACGAAAGGAAAAAAAAAAGTTAGATGAAAACGTATAGATATTCGGTTACGAATTATATGTTTATATAAAAAAATTATTTTTATACATTTAATAAAATCTTAATATGTACACTTATAAAATACACACCTTTAAATGCGTACTCAAATTCTGGTCCAATTACATAATTGAGCTCTGCAAAAAATACACACTTACTTAATGATTATAAGTGCACATTGTTAAAGGTTGGTCCCAAGAGCTTGCACATATCAAGCTTACTGTAGTTTCAAAAAAAAAAAAGTTATAGATTTTCCTTAATATTTATTATTTTCCCGTTTCGTTGTTCGCCATTAATATTACTCTCGTGAATTTTTTAAATTTTCCTGCCCGATCATTGAATAGAAAAAGTAATAATAGTAATAAGATGAATATTCTATTTATATAGAAATCATGAATCAATTAGAGTTGAGATTTACGTCACCTTATTGTAAGAAGCATATTAAATCATAGCCATGTGTTCGCTAAAAAATCATTAGTCTTCTTAACGATTAAGCCCAATATTCTAACCCGCTGCACCAATAGAATAATATAATAGTGTTAGTAATATTGAGCCCAGAATACTGTTCGATCATGTACCTAACTTTACAACTACACCCTATAGCACAAGCCTATTAAATTTTATTAAAGCTATTAATGTTAATAGTCCTAAGAATGCTATAATCTATATTAAATCTTTTATTTCTATTGAAGTTTTAGTATTTCTATTATTGCTATTATATATCAGCTTTATATAGCCAATATAATTGCCAAATGCATTTATACATACCAGGCGCAAAAATAATGCAATTATGATCATGACTTTAATCCAAAATAGTTATATAGATAAACAATCTAGTATATATAATATTGATTTATTAGTAATAATACCTGTTAATGTTATATATAGATAAAATAAATTAATTTTGTTAGCTAAGCATATTTGTACCGGAGCAGGAAATAAACTTGATGTAAATGTGGCTATAATTAATAAATACCTGTTGGTGATGTTGAATAATCCAAAAAAGTTAAGACCAAAAATGAAACAATTTATTATTACTTTACACGTATCTATATGCATTTGTACCTGGCGCAAAAAATAGCTTGAGGTGAATGTACTGATTTAGAAATACCTGTAGACAAAATTGAATAATCCAAAATAGTATAGATGATTGAATTAATATCTCGGGCAATAACGATGCATGAATAATATGTATTGAACAAAAATAATATATCTTAATTAACACTCGAACCATATCAGGAAATATAAATTTGAAACATAAATTACCTAATATGTTCAAATTTAACCTGTCTTTATAATTCGTATATTTTTTTATAAACCATACAAATGATCTACAAAGTGCAAGGTATAAAACGATTTGATTAAAGTCAAAAAAAATATTAATTTTATGTTCGAAAGTTTCCCGTTTAAGAATAATTTCTTTAATACTATTGTATACAAAATTATTTTATCAAAAATCACATCATGGTAATTATTGAGACCAGTGGAGAAGCAAAAAAAAGAAAGATGCGTGAACGAATAACATCTCGACGTAAAGATCCTCAGTTTCGAAAAATTCAATACACTAATAAAAAAAACAAAAAAATTCAATCTCGACTTGCAAGAGATCGACAATCAACTAACTTAGGTATTCCTTTACGCGTCTTGGAAATGAATGAAGCTTTCAAAAATCTTACTCAACATTATGCCGCATGGCCTCAACCGGCTGAAGATAAAATAGCTAAAGATACTTTAGCTGAATTTCAAGATAAAATTCATCTTAATAACCTACGTGAATTACCATGTGTTGTTTGTTCAGGGCTTTACGTTCACAAAGACTGGAAGGAAATTTCTGTGCAAGAAATTGATCTCTCTTTAATCAAAGCTCTATTAGAACTTACTGCTCCAGCGTTCGAAATAAATTTCAATTACAATCATCCTTATATTGAAGCCAGCGGGCTGAAAATTCTTCTTGATCGTTCTGGATTCATTTACTCTTCCGATCTCCCGAATATCTCAGATAATCCCTTTAACTTACGGATCTGCCATTCTTGTTATGACTATCTAAGAAAACATAAAACACCACCATTATCATTAGCTAACGATATGTGGATTGGAACCACCCCACCATGTCTTCAAGACCTGACAATCCCAGAACAACTTCTCATTTCACCTGGATATTTATGTATGAATCTTATCCAATTGACAAAGAAAAAGCATACCCATCATAAGCTTAAAGGACATGTTGTAATGTTGCCTCAAAATCCAACTTTATTAGTAAAAGTATTACCTCTACCGATGTATCGACTTTGTGAATACATAAAAGTGGTATTTGTTAGAAAAGAAGCATCTACACCTAATCAACTTAAAAAAGTGCTCCAGGTTCAAAAAAGCAGAGTAGCAGCAGTGCTTCAATGGCTTTTCAAACATAATAAATTATTTATAAATAAACTAGAATTTGATAAATCTGCATTAAATAATCTACCTGAAGGCGAAATCCCTGAAGCTTTAACTTTAACAACCATGCTTGTGGATATTGATTCTTGAGAAACAGAGCATTATACTGGTTATACTCAGGAGCTCTTGTCAAATAACCAAGAATCAGATAGTGAAAGCGAAGATGAAGATAATGAAGAATTGCTTAATATAAATAATCGTAATAATTCGATCTATACTGCGAATGAACTCAGACCATCTGGAATAATAAATGTTGATAATGTACCAATTACTAAAAGAGAGTTTACTTTACTCTCTTTTCAAAAACTTATTGATAAACAAGATTGTCATAAAGTATTAAGCGTACCCCATGATAATAAGCCCTTAAATGAATATGTTGATTTATCTCTTTTGCCAGCTGGATTTCCAGTTCTTTATCCATATGGCATTGGAGGCCATGAAGGACGATTGATTAAAGTCTCATTATCTAAATATGCTGATTATCTAATGCGGTATCATGATCCAAAATTCAAACAACACAGATCGTTCCTTTTCGTCATCTTCAACATTTTGCAACGATGAGAAGTATCAACAGAATCCTACAACTTAACAAGAAATATTAATTTTGATCAGTCATCCAAGTTAATATCTTCCCTAAAATCTGAAGATATTAATTTAGCAATCAAACAAGAACAGGATAAACAGCCTATTAGCAATCCGGCAATTATTGAGTTACTCAAAAATGTCAACTCTGCTGGCTCTAAACTAATGGCATCTCATCAATCCCGTGCATGTATGCGTAATGAAATACGTGCTGTTATAATGCGAGATGGCACCCCTTCACTATTCATAACAATAAATCCTGCCGATCTCCATAGTCCTATTGTTATGATGTATGCTGGAAATGAAATAGATCTTGAGAAACTAACTCCTGAAAATTTTCCAAAAGCTTTAGAAAGAGCTCGGCTTGCACATCTTGACCCTACAGCCGTCGCTAAATATTTTGATGTTCTTATCAGAACAATCATAGATACATTAATCGGGTACAAAAAAAAAGACAATGGTATATTTGGGTCAGTCAAAAATTATTATGGTGTAGTTGAATATCAAGATCGTGGTACTCCACATTGTCACATGCTTATCTGGCTTCACAGTGCTCTTAACCCAATTTTATTACGTCAAAGGCTCCAGAATGATGATGAGTTCTGCCAACGTCTTCTAAATTATATTAGTAAAATTGTTCGAGAGGATATCAGTTATCTTTTAAAAGAAGATGAACTTATGACAGATGACATGATTAGAGCTGAATGCGTAGCTCCAAAAACAATTCTGGAAAAACGAATGCATCCATCTTTTCTACCCATACCCAATCCAAGATCCCCTGATTTTGAAGAAAAATTCCGACTAGACTTACTTGCCATCTGCAAACGTACACTTTTTCATCATTGTACTCAAACGTGTAAAAAATTTAAACGTGGTTTGCAAAAAAATTGCCAATTCGATTTTCCAAGAGAACTTGTGAATCCACCTGGTACAATCTTTTCTGAACAAGGCATCATCGCTAATCAATGTAATAGTGCCTTTTTTAACAACCACAACCCTTATATCACGGCTGCGTGTAGGGGAAATAATGACATTAAGTTTATATCTACTCGAAAACTTGCCTTAGCTTACATCCATTATATTACTGATTATATCACCAAATCAGATATTAGCACACACAGTTCTTTTTTGATATGTGCTTCTACACTAGAAACTTTTTTGGCACAACCATCCAATGAAATTTCATATAACCTTATAGACAAATCACGCAGACTTGTAACAAAATGCCTAAACAAATTAGCCAGACAAATGGAGCTTACAAGCCCACAGGTTTCTGCGTATTTATTAGGTATCTGTGACCATTATACTCCAAACAAATTCGCTTCTATTCATCTTCAAACTTTTGAAACCTATCTCTTGAAAGAGTGGTCGATTTCACTCAACGATACCGATGATATTGATACATATGTCGAATCAGATTCTGATGATGAACAAGACAATGAAGACCCTACACCTGAAACTTTTCTAATATCATCCTATAATAGCAAATTAACTGCTGTAAATCTTCGAGTCAATTATCAATTTCGAGGTGAATCTCTATATAACATTTGTCTCTATGATTATGCCTCCACTATTCAGAAAACTCAGATAAATTCTTTTGAACTTTCAATGTTATCAAGTCAATTGTCTAGAGAAAACAAATCATACATTGATCGTTTTCTTTTTCATAGAGGTGAATACGATAATGATCATATTCATAAGCCCTATAAGGTTCATCCTCAGTGTAATACACATATTCAGTTATATAGAAAAAGAGGAACTGAAAGAGTAGTAGTACTATGTGGTAAAGGTATACCTAAAAAGGATGATGCAGAAAATTCTGAGAGATATGGTCTATGTATCCTTATGCTGTTTAAGCCTTGGAAAACCATTCACGACCTTTCAGAAAATTATATCTCTTGGGCTGAAGCTTGTCAAGTATTTTTAGATAGCTCTAATTTATCCCCGCGTTTAAAATCTATAATATATAATATAGAATTACTACA